TCTCATAGTTGAGGTATACCTATGATGAAAATTACAGGCCTCTCTCATCTTTTTAAGTGGGAGAACTTGCACAATTGGTGGCTGACTAAATACTTTTTTGCCCCACTGTATGTGGGGGCGTGTTCGAACGAGCCGTTTTAGGTAGGTGTGGCTAACTCTTACCTTTTATAAAGAATATCTCTTTGGATTTGAGACTTTAGTCTTTGCAACTTTACAGATCTTCTTTATGCACCAAGAGCTTGTAACACTCTAAAGAGAAAGGAAAAAATGAAATCGCATCATATGACCCCTTTAAGTGAATGAGAATGTGTTTAGAGTTTTGCAAAAAAAAATGCATGAGATTTGCAAATAGAGCCTAACTGCCTGAACGTATTTAAGGTTTAGCAGAAAGAGTGCTTTATTCCACAAATTGGTTTAAGCTAGTGAGAATTTGATTCAGAGATTGGGGTTTAGTGTTTTTGCAATTCAGAAAAACTGTAATACTGTAAAGTTGCTTTGACACAATCTGTATTGTTAAAAGCGCTATATAAATAAAGGTGACTTGACTTGACATCATACTGTAGAAATTCAAGCAGATTTAGACAATTGAGATAAAGATATTCAAAATTAACCTCTCAATTTTCATTGAGGCTTTTCATTTATTATCCCTGCGTTCTTCTATGGTGTGAGTTTAATGCTACAACAGTGTCCTCTGTTGGTTAAATAATGCATACTAAGTTTTAAGATTTTTTTATTCCCGGAATTCCAGCCAGGCCACATCAAAAACGAATAAACAATAAACATCCTTGAAAGTGAATTGCATTAGAAGCCAGGAGGAAATGGCTAAAAGCCTCTTAAAAACACATGCTGGTGGAAAAACAAAACAGTCATGTTGACTTTCTTTCACTGCATAGATCTTGTTGATCCTTATTCGAAATGATGGTTAAGACATTTTTCATTGCCCTTACAATATGTAAATAGAAATTTCAAGTCCACATTTGGCAAAAGATCAGTTTGCTGTTGTTGATTAAAGAGCCATGGAGGTGAATCTTCTAAGTCGGCTCAGCCTTGGCGAAGGAGGACACCGTCTCATGCTGTACTTGGAAGGTAGTTTTGGTGTTTTAGGCATTGGCAGTGGATCCAGTGGTTTAGCCACCTTCACAGTATTCTTACCGTAGAGTTTCTTCTCATAGTCCAGAAGTTGGGTCCAGAATCCTGTATTAAGGCATATGCAAGGTCTGCTGTCTTTAACCCAGTTATGTGCCTGCCGCAGAGTCACTCCTTTGTACTTCATGAGGTAGGCCATTATTAGAGCAGGTGAGCGACTCATGCCCACAGCGCAGTGCACTAGGGTTCCTCCAGATCTGTTACCATGGATTCGAGCTGCAATGTGGTCAAAATGATCACCTAGACGGGCATTTGGGAGGTCGGACACTGCAACACGTATGCACTCCACACCTGGGTATATAGGGCAGGTGTGGGATAGGGTCACGTTCACGATCAGTGTAATGCCTTTGCGGGTCATAAGTGCCTGATTCAAAGGAGCATCAGCCCCACTTAGAAAGAGAGTTGGTGTTATCTGTGATATTGACATATCGCTGCATGGAAAGAAATAATATCAGGGGTTTTTTTTTTTATTAAAAAAACAACAACAATGCACTAAACAGGTTTAGAATAAGTTTGGGAACAAAGCTATTTCTATTATAGTTTATTATTATTTTGGGTCTATATAGTTCTTATAAAAAATTAATGTACAGGTAGCTGCAATTGTTCTCAGAACATAAGCCACAAAAATCACAAATGTGTACAGGTCAATGAAAAAATAAAGAAAAGGAAAGTAAAAATTTGTCTGTCATGATTTCCTGATTCAAAGGAGCATCAGCCCCACTTAGAAAGAGAGTTGGTGTTATCTGTGATATTGACATATCGCTGCATGGAAAGAAATAATATCAGGGGGGTTTTTTTTATTAAAAAAACAACAACAATGCACTAAACAGGTTTAGAATAAGTTTGGGAACAAAGCTATTTCTATTATAGTTTATTATTATTTTGGGTCTATATAGTTCTTATAAAAAATTAATGTACAGGTAGCTGCAATTGTTCTCAGAACATAAGCCACAAAAATCACAAATGTGTACAGGTCAATGAAAAAATAAAGAAAAGGAAAGTAAAAATTTGTCTGTCATGATTTAAAAAAAAAATCAAGTTTAAAACACATGTGCCAAGTCCTTAGAAATGTATTCATGTTAAATGGATATGGTTTTGGAACATATTTGTACCATTTTCAAGGAAATTTCAAAGAAAAAATGTTTAAAAAATTTTTTGATAACAGATCTTCATCAAGCATGAAACAACAGGCAACAATAACAATACCACATCTTTGTATACAAAGTACAAAGATGCTCATCATGTAAGACGTGTATTAAAGTCATTGTATATGAATGTATTTATGAATAAACTAATAGATTAAAAAATAATGAGAATCACATCATTGACCTGTACACATTATTTTAGAACTGCAGGGGGGGGGGACACAGAACACACAAACCAGCAAAACCAGTAACCCACAAAGCTGCAGGCAGATTTCTAAGCTAACAGAGTCATGTGTACTAAGTTAAATAGCATGGTATTTTTCAGTTTCATGAACTTTCCACTACAATGTGAAACGATGCATCTCACATGCATAAAGTTTATGAATACACTGTCACACAATTCTCCAAACTGCTTCCTCTTTAAGTTCCTGGGGGGCTGAAGCCTATCCCAGCGTCTGAGGCCACCACAATTAATTTTACACTTACACCATTCTAATATAGCCTATTTAAATATATATCTGACCTGTCTTTACATTTTACTGCATTGTTCCTATAGTGTTTAAGGCTTTTAGTAACTGACCTGGTCCCTTGGTGTGGTCTCTTTCACATTTGAGCTCTACACTAGAGTGCTATGGATCCCCTGTTGGCAAGTTCAAACCCTAAAAAGGCTTTGAAGACAGCTGGCCAATGAAGAGAGAGATTAATTTTAAACTCCTCTGCTCTGCCTGTGGGGCATTTGTTTCATATCTTTATGACAGACACAAGCCTGTCTGTTTATGAAACCAAACAAACGATTCAAACTTGAACTTTAAACTTAAACTTTTGATGACAAAGTTTGAAAATGTAGAACAAGGTCATTGTGTAAATGTTCAAATAACACATTCCATGAAAAACAATTTTATTAGGCTTTAGAGAAGATGAGAAAAAAAGAATATATATATATATATATATATATATATATATATATATATATATATACACGC